TTTTGAGAATTCTAAAAAAACACGCGCTGCCGTCTGAAGAGCCTGCCATGCGTGCCTGAAGCGCTCGTTCCATGAAATGAGTCGAGTTTTGAGTCGACTCAAAACTCGACTCATTTCACGCTGCCGTCTGAAGAGCCTGCCATGCGTGCGCGCCTGTTTTTTGAGAATTCTAAAAAAACACGCGCTGCCGTCTGAAGAGCCTGCCATGCGTGCCTGAAGCGCTCGTTCCATGAAATGAGTCGAGTTTTGAGTCGACTCAGAAACTCGACTCATTTCACGCTGCCGTCTGAAGAGCCTGCCATGCGTGCGCGCCTGTTTTTTGAGAATTCTAAAAAAACACGCGCTGCCGTCTGAAGAGCCTGCCATGCGTGCCTGAAGCGCTCGTTCCATGAAATGAGTCGAGTTTTGAGTCGACTCGAAACTCGACTCATTTCACGCTGCCGTCTGAAGAGCCTGCCATGCGTGCGCGCCTGTTTTTTGAGAATTCTAAAAAAACACGCGCTGCCGTCTGAAGAGCCTGCCATGCGTGCCTGAAGCGCTCGTTCCATGAAATGAGTCGAGTTTTGAGTCGACTCAAAACTCGACTCATTTCACGCTGCCGTCTGAAGAGCCTGCCATGCGTGCGCGCCTGTTTTTTGAGAATTCTAAAAAAACACGCGCTGCCGTCTGAAGAGCCTGCCATGCGTGCCTGAAGCGCTCGTTCCATGAAATGAGTCGAGTTTTGAGTCGACTCAAAACTCGACTCATTTCACGCTGCCGTCTGAAGAGCCTGCCATGCGTGCGCGCCTGTTTTTTGAGAATTCTAAAAAAACACGCGCTGCCGTCTGAAGAGCCTGCCATGCGTGCCTGAAGCGCTCGTTCCATGAAATGAGTCGAGTTTTGAGTCGACTCAAAACTCGACTCATTTCACGCTGCCGTCTGAAGAGCCTGCCATGCGTGCGCGCCTGTTTTTTGAGAATTCTAAAAAAACACGCGCTGCCGTCTGAAGAGCCTGCCATGCGTGCCTGAAGCGCTCGTTCCATGAAATGAGTCGAGTTTTGAGTCGACTCGAAACTCGACTCATTTCACGCTGCCGTCTGAAGAGCCTGCCATGCGTGCGCGCCTGTTTTTTGAGAATTCTAAAAAAACACGCGCTGCCGTCTGAAGAGCCTGCCATGCGTGCCTGAAGCGCTCGTTCCATGAAATGAGTCGAGTTTTGAGTCGACTCAAAACTCGACTCATTTCACGCTGCCGTCTGAATAGCCTGCCATGCGTGCGCGCCTGTTTTTTGAGAATTCTAAAAAAACACGCGCTGCCGTCTGAAGAGCCTGCCATGCGTGCCTGAAGCGCTCGTTCCATGAAATGAGTCGAGTTTTGAGTCGACTCAAAACTCGACTCATTTCACGCTGCCGTCTGAAGAGCCTGCCATGCGTGCGCGCCTGTTTTTTGAGAATTCTAAAAAAACACGCGCTGCCGTCTGAAGAGCCTGCCATGCGTGCCTGAAGCGCTCGTTCCATGAAATGAGTCGAGTTTTGAGTCGACTCAAAACTCGACTCATTTCACGCTGCCGTCTGAAGAGCCTGCCATGCGTGCGCGCCTGTTTTTTGAGAATTCTAAAAAAACACGCGCTGCCGTCTGAAGAGCCTGCCATGCGTGCCTGAAGCGCTCGTTCCATGAAATGAGTCGAGTTTTGAGTCGACTCAAAACTCGACTCATTTCACGCTGCCGTCTGAAGAGCCTGCCATGCGTGCGCGCCTGTTTTTTGAGAATTCTAAAAAAACACGCGCTGCCGTCTGAAGAGCCTGCCATGCGTGCCTGAAGCGCTCGTTCCATGAAATGAGTCGAGTTTTGAGTCGACTCGAAACTCGACTCATTTCACGCTGCCGTCTGAAGAGCCTGCCATGCGTGCGCGCCTGTTTTTTGAGAATTCTAAAAAAACACGCGCTGCCGTCTGAAGAGCCTGCCATGCGTGCCTGAAGCGCTCGTTCCATGAAATGAGTCGAGTTTTGAGTCGACTCAAAACTCGACTCATTTCACGCTGCCGTCTGAAGAGCCTGCCATGCGTGCGCGCCTGTTTTTTGAGAATTCTAAAAAAACACGCGCTGCCGTCTGAAGAGCCTGCCATGCGTGCCTGAAGCGCTCGTTCCATGAAATGAGTCGAGTTTTGAGTCGACTCAAAACTCGACTCATTTCACGCTGCCGTCTGAAGAGCCTGCCATGCGTGCGCGCCTGTTTTTTGAGAATTCTAAAAAAACACGCGCTGCCGTCTGAAGAGCCTGCCATGCGTGCTTGAAGCGCTCGTTCCATGAAATGAGTCGAGTTTTGAGTCGACTCAAAACTCGACTCATTTCACGCTGCCGTCTGAAGAGCCTGCCATGCGTGCGCGCCTGTTTTTTGAGAATTCTAAAAAAACACGCGCTGCCGTCTGAAGAGCCTGCCATGCGTGCCTGAAGCGCTCGTTCCATGAAATGAGTCGAGTTTTGAGTCGACTCAAAACTCGACTCATTTCACGCTGCCGTCTGAAGAGCCTGCCATGCGTGCGCGCCTGTTTTTTGAGAATTCTAAAAAAACACGCGCTGCCGTCTGAAGAGCCTGCCATGCGTGCCTGAAGCGCTCGTTCCATGAAATGAGTCGAGTTTTGAGTCGACTCAAAACTCGACTCATTTCACGCTGCCGTCTGAAGAGCCTGCCATGCGTGCGCGCCTGTTTTTTGAGAATTCTAAAAAAACACGCGCTGCCGTCTGAAGAGCCTGCCATGCGTGCCTGAAGCGCTCGTTCCATGAAATGAGTCGAGTTTTGAGTCGACTCAAAACTCGACTCATTTCACGCTGCCGTCTGAAGAGCCTGCCATGCGTGCGCGCCTGTTTTTTGAGAATTCTAAAAAAACACGCGCTGCCGTCTGAAGAGCCTGCCATGCGTGCCTGAAGCGCTCGTTCCATGAAATGAGTCGAGTTTTGAGTCGACTCAAAACTCGACTCATTTCACGCTGCCGTCTGAAGAGCCTGCCATGCGTGCGCGCCTGTTTTTTGAGAATTCTAAAAAAACACGCGCTGCCGTCTGAAGAGCCTGCCATGCGTGCCTGAAGCGCTCGTTCCATGAAATGAGTCGAGTTTTGAGTCGACTCAAAACTCGACTCATTTCACGCTGCCGTCTGAAGAGCCTGCCATGCGTGCGCGCCTGTTTTTTGAGAATTCTAAAAAAACACGCGCTGCCGTCTGAAGAGCCTGCCATGCGTGCCTGAAGCGCTCGTTCCATGAAATGAGTCGAGTTTTGAGTCGACTCAAAACTCGACTCATTTCACGCTGCCGTCTGAAGAGCCTGCCATGCGTGCGCGCCTGTTTTTTGAGAATTCTAAAAAAACACGCGCTGCCGTCTGAAGAGCCTGCCATGCGTGCTTGAAGCGCTCGTTCCATGAAATGAGTCGAGTTTTGAGTCGACTCAAAACTCGACTCATTTCACGCTGCCGTCTGAAGAGCCTGCCATGCGTGCGCGCCTGTTTTTTGAGAATTCTAAAAAAACACGCGCTGCCGTCTGAAGAGCCTGCCATGCGTGCCTGAAGCGCTCGTTCCATGAAATGAGTCGAGTTTTGAGTCGACTCGAAACTCGACTCATTTCACGCTGCCGTCTGAAGAGCCTGCCATGCGTGCGCGCCTGTTTTTTTGAGAATTCTAAAAAAACACGCGCTGCCGTCTGAAGAGCCTGCCATGCGTGCCTGAAGCGCTCGTTCCATGAAATGAGTCGAGTTTTGAGTCGACTCAAAACTCGACTCATTTCACGCTGCCGTCTGAAGAGCCTGCCATGCGTGCGCGCCTGTTTTTTGAGAATTCTAAAAAAACACGCGCTGCCGTCTGAAGAGCCTGCCATGCGTGCCTGAAGCGCTCGTTCCATGAAATGAGTCGAGTTTTGAGTCGACTCAAAACTCGACTCATTTCACGCTGCCGTCTGAAGAGCCTGCCATGCGTGCGCGCCTGTTTTTTGAGAATTCTAAAAAAACACGCGCTGCCGTCTGAAGAGCCTGCCATGCGTGCCTGAAGCGCTCGTTCCATGAAATGAGTCGAGTTTTGAGTCGACTCGAAACTCGACTCATTTCACGCTGCCGTCTGAAGAGCCTGCCATGCGTGCGCGCCTGTTTTTTGAGAATTCTAAAAAAACACGCGCTGCCGTCTGAAGAGCCTGCCATGCGTGCCTGAAGCGCTCGTTCCATGAAATGAGTCGAGTTTTGAGTCGACTCAAAACTCGACTCATTTCACGCTGCCGTCTGAAGAGCCTGCCATGCGTGCGCGCCTGTTTTTTGAGAATTCTAAAAAAACACGCGCTGCCGTCTGAAGAGCCTGCCATGCGTGCCTGAAGCGCTCGTTCCATGAAATGAGTCGAGTTTTGAGTCGACTCGAAACTCGACTCATTTCACGCTGCCGTCTGAAGAGCCTGCCATGCGTGCGCGCCTGTTTTTTGAGAATTCTAAAAAAACACGCGCTGCCGTCTGAAGAGCCTGCCATGCGTGCCTGAAGCGCTCGTTCCATGAAATGAGTCGAGTTTTGAGTCGACTCGAAACTCGACTCATTTCACGCTGCCGTCTGAAGAGCCTGCCATGCGTGCGCGCCTGTTTTTTGAGAATTCTAAAAAAACACGCGCTGCCGTCTGAAGAGCCTGCCATGCGTGCCTGAAGCGCTCGTTCCATGAAATGAGTCGAGTTTTGAGTCGACTCGAAACTCGACTCATTTCACGCTGCCGTCTGAAGAGCCTGCCATGCGTGCGCGCCTGTTTTTTGAGAATTCTAAAAAAACACGCGCTGCCGTCTGAAGAGCCTGCCATGCGTGCGCGCCTCATGTGCTCGTTCCGTGAAATCAGGTGCCCTGGGAGGGGTTGGCGCGGGCTGTGCAGAAAAAGGCACTGGTATGTGAAACCCCTGCCGTGGCAGGCGGCAGTGTGTGGCAGTGTGTGGCAGTGTGGCACGTGGGCTGCCTTTGATACGAGCGTGACCTGAATTTGCGTGCCGTGTTTGCGGTCCGTGGTCCATGCAGGGAAATGAAGGCGAAGCTGAAAAGGGCCTTTCCGAATTCATTTGAGGTCAGTGGTGGTGGGTTCTGACTTGGCTCTAAAGGGTCGAGTTTTTCTTCTGTTTTTTTTTTTTTTCGTTAACATGCACCCTGCCTCGTGTGGCTTTTGAAGCACACCAAAAGCTGACCCCCGTTGTGCTCTGATGATCCTGCTCTGTTTCTTCCCTTTACAAGTTGACATGGTACGGTAGCAGTCGCCACCAACTCTTGAAGAGAACCCACCATGTCACAACCACCACCACCACTACCACTGCCATCCATCCCCCTCATTGCCGGCAGGAAGCAGAGGAGATCGTGTCATTGCAGCCGGGATTGCAAGTGGATGAGGAGGATGAGTGAAAGAGGAGCACGCACTACCAACTCTTGCACCGCCCGCACCACAATCCCCCTCGTTGCTCCCAGGAGGCAGAGGAGCTTGTGGCATTGCAGCCGGGATTGCAAGTGGGAGAGGAGGATGAGTGAAGGGAACCATCTCTGCAGTGTATATTAGCGTGCAATCTATCTCTGCAATGTATATAAAGCATGTAATTCATCTCCGCAATTTATACAAGCCTGCAATGTCACGAGCAGCAACGGGAGGGGGTTTGATATCCTTCCCACACCACACCACTCAATTCAATCACGTGGCTGAGCAGGGAAATCAAAACGGGGATGGGGAGTTTTGGCAGAACTTTGGCCAGCATGATCTCAGACTGTACTCAGGGTCCTGTCCCGTACCCTGTACTCTTGAGAGCTTGACAGCTTCTTTATTCTGTGCTCAATGTTGGAAAAGCAAGCAGTCGCGGACAACAGCAGCTGGGTCACACATACGGTACTGCAAATGCTAACAGACACACATACAGTGCCACAAGGGATTAGAAATCTCTACTACTGACTGATTAGTAGGTAACAGATGCATGACTAACAGCAGACATCACGTGCAGTCACCCGTGCCAAACCAGGCAATTGAGTCGGTAAAATGGCACGCAGAGAACAAGGCCAGCTGTCACACAGAGAACCACTGAGAGGTCAGATCAGGTGTAAGCAAGAAGTCACATAGTCAAAGGGATTCACTGACATGACTGATGCAAGAACCGAGTTGACTTTTGAGTCGACTCATAAGTAAACTCGGGATTCACAGCCACGATTGATGCAAGAACCGAGTTGACTTTTGAGTCGACTCATAAGTAAACTCGGGATTCACAGCCACGATTGATGCAAGAACCGAGTTGACTTTTGAGTCGACTCATAAGTCAACTCGGGATTCACAGCCACGATTGATGCAAGAACCGAGTTGACTTTTTGAGTCGACTCATAAGTCAACTCGGGATTCACAGCCACGATTGATGCAAGAACCGAGTTGACTTTTGAGTCGACTCATAAGTCAACTCGGGATTCACAGAACTGATGCAAGAACCGAGTTGACTTTTGAGTCGACTCATAAGTCAACTCGGGATTCACAGCCACGACTGATGCAAGAACCAAGTTGACTTTTGAGTCGACTCATAAGTCAACTCGGGATTCACAGCCACGACGACTGATGCAAGAACCTAGGGGCGGGAGGAGGGGAAGATGGGGGATTGAGCGGGAGAGGGGCGTGGAGAGAATTGAAAGAGAGCTGCGAGGAAATGAGAGGTGAGTGGAGGTGGAATGAGAGATGGGGGGGGGGGGGGGGGGGGGGGGGGGGGGGGGGGGGGGGGGGGGGGGGGGGGGGGGGGGGGGGGGGGGGGGGGGGGGGGGGAGGGGGGGGAGTTGGTTACGCATGAGAGATGCGCATGAGGAGTGAATGGGTGGGGGCAGATGAGGGGTGAGTGGGGGTGGAATGAGAGATGGGGGGGGACTAGGAGAGCGTGGAGGCGGAGGGGGAGGAGGAGGGGGGTTGGGTGGGTGGGTTGCCTGGCAAGAGGGATGGATGGGGGATGCGCACGAGGAGTGAATGGGTGGGGGCAGATGAGGGGTGAGTGGGGGAAGGCGGAGGGGAGGGAGGGGGGATGGGGGATGGTTAGGACGGACATGAAGGGGCAAAGGAGGTGAGGGAAATGGGGGATGATGAGGGGGCGGTGGAAGGGGAGCGGAATAGGGGGGAAAGGGGAGAGGAGGGGGAACGAGGGGTGAGCAGAGCGAAGATGAGAAGTGGGTGCAGAGGGAGGGGAGAAGCAAAGGAGCACGGGGGGATAAGCGGCGCACGCAGGCTACTGAGGGGAAAGCGGGGAGGCGTGGGGGAGAGCGGGGGAGATGAAGAGAGAGCGTGGGGGATGAGAGATGCATGACGTTACTAGGCAGGGGAAGAGAGGGGAGGGAAATAGGTAAAAAAATGAGAAAGAGGACTCTCCCTTGTGGCGTCCCTTAACGCGCTTCAAATAACGACTTTCACTGATCCACTCCTTTCCCATTCGCTCCCTTACGCCTCTTTTCCCTGCCGACCTCCCCTTTCCCACTTTCTTGCGCATCCGCCAGGCTAATGTGGCTTGCGTTTGTATCATGCGTTTGCAGGATAAGACCCCAATGATAGAAGTAGCGAATTTGTCAGCAGTTTTGTTTTTCGACCCAAAAAAAGTCTCAATAAAATAATCGTCACGAATGTGTCCGCAAATCGGCGCTAAAATTCGCAACGCAAATGAACGTTGAGATACTCGAGCTAAAAAAACGTCAGATCTTACTAGTACACCAACTACCACTAATGGCTTTTGAGGCGCCTCAAAAGTCGTCTCATTACCCGCAGATCTTACCAGTACACCAACTACCACTAATGGCGCGAATCTGGAGGGAGAGCAACTAGTCTCAAAGAGTTAGCTATAGTAACCGCACTAGATGTGTGAAGCGGCGAACGCTGAAGTAGGACCGAAGCGCGATTAAGACTAAAAAGGTACTGAGATCCAACTAGTTACGGAAACAAGATCAGGGACTCCATGGAAAAAACGAACTACCGCTTTTGCCTCCAAAAATCAGTAAGCGACGGTAGCGAGATGAACGGTGACAGGAGAACTAATCATCGCTGACTCGATCTAAGGGGAGAGTAACTATTAGAACTGGATAATGCTGAATGAGAGGAATTAGGTATGGCAGGTGAGAAACTGTGAGATCGGGGTTATTGATTCAACGCCTTGGTGCTTGCGTGACGGTGACAGAAACATTCGGTGCTGCCGTGGAAACACCCTTGATTTCTATTGGCTAGCTAAATCCCTTCAGGATCACCTTTTAAATTTCCAGCTGCCCAAGTCAAGTTTGGAAGGGCAGAACGAAGTGTGGAAAAAGTCACGCCACGCAGGAATTTCGCTACGCAGGAATTTCGCTAACCATCCCTCCGCCGTCCCGCATCTGACGCAGAACTCACTCAAACTCGAAACTTAATATTTTAGAGAAGCGCCACGTCCACCTCCTAGAAAGTTCAAGCCTGCCCAGCCCTTACTTCTTTCAACCCAGGGTCCTCAACCAACCTCTCCCACACATACGCGCCCTCAGCAGATGCGTTTGCAGAAAGGAACAACACAAGCAGTTTGTCAAAATCAACCAGTTTGTGAATGAAGTGTACAGCTTGGTTTGTTTGGGGGTTCGGCTCTGAACTTTGCGGCGCCTCAAGCCCCCAACCATGCGGCTCGGAATATTCCGTCAATTACTTCGTGGCGGGGACTTTTGAATGCGCCACTGTAGGGTTGACCCATTCTGACAGAGAATGCTTTCAGCCGCTTTACGGCTTTGATTTGACCCATCACATTTGGGTTGGAGTCGCGCTGTTTCGCGCCGTGGTGCCGCTAACCAACAAATTCTCTTTCTCCTTCTGGTTCAGTTGCTTCATCATCCTCCTCACTCTCAACTCACCTCTGCTCGTGTAAAGTCTCATTCATGGAGTTCATTTCCAGCTTCACGAATTCAATGAAGGATTTCCAGTAAAGCTCCAACTTATTGAGCTCCTTTTGGACTTCAAGCTACTCGCTCCTCGGAGCAAATGCAATATCTGAAGCCACCCGGCTAGTGAATGGGGAAAGCTTAGGCATGCGGCGGCGTGAGGTCGCGTAGAGAGTCTCGTGTAGAATAGCGTGGTTGGGGGGTTGGGTAGATTAGAGTCTTAGCGAGCTGCCAAGTGCCTATGGCTGAACCATTCACGAAACCGGGTTTTCGCGGCAAGTTTTTCACCGCGACGAATTCAAGATATCACCGCAACATATGCATGGCGAGATCCTCGCTACAAGTATCACCGCAAGATCTGCATGGCGAGGTCCTCACTACAAGATCTTCAGGCCAAAATCTTCCACGGCGATATCTTCGCAGCGAAATCGTAATGGCGACGCCTCCGCTTCAAGATCGCTGCTGCAAGAGCTTCAAGAGCTTCAAGGGCTTCAAGTGCTTCAAGAGCTGCAAGTGGTCCAAGTGCTTCATGAGCTTCAAGAACTTCAGGTGTCGCATGGCGCCTCCCCTGCTGGCGCGGCCGCCGTGACCAAGTCTCACGAGTCGGTAAGTCCATTCTTTTTCAACTCCTTGCAGCAACCGTTTCTTGGCAAGTTAGGTTCTGACTGGTTCAACATAGTTCAAGTGCTAATCTGATTTTCTTTCCTTCCGCAGACCTCTCCGCGGAGACATGAAGCGCCGACGCTAACACTTGAGCCCTCTACAACACGGGGTTCTCGCGGCAAATTCAAGATTTCGCAGCGAGATCCGCATAGCGACAAGAACTTCCACGGCGACATCATCGCGGCTCCGCTCCGGCCTTCACCATCAACACGAAGACTGTCGAGTGGAGGTAAGCGGCAACTATTTCGACTTCGTTCTGTCACTTAATGCCTCGACATTGTTCAACAGATTCTGACCTGTTGCTTTCTTCCCGCAGACCTCTTGGCCGTCTTGGCGAGACTCGAAGCGCCGACATTGAAGCCAAGATCTTCACGCGCAAGATCTTCAAGCCAGGATCTTCCAGTCAAGCTCGTCCAAGGCGACATCTTCACGGCTCCAAGTGCTTCAAGTGGCCTTCCCCATCGGTGGCCCCGTCTCATTAAGACAGTCGAGTGGGGGTAAGTGCAACTTGTTTTCAACTTCATCTTGCAACCGTTCTCGGCCGGTTCATTTCTTAAGCTCTAAATCGTTCAACATTATTCAAGCACTAACCATTATTCAAGCACTAACCTTTTGCTTTATTCCACGCAGACCTCCTGGCGACCGTCTTGACTCGAAGTGTCAACGCCAGGACTTGAAGCGCCGACGCAAGGACTTGAAGCGCCGACGCTAACACTTGAACCGTCAACAACCACCGAACGCGGATAGGAGCTACCACCGTCGCTGCGTGAAGTCTTCACGTTCTCACGAAGAGATGAAGACGCTTGGCGTAAGTGCAGTCTTCCTAATTTAAATAAGCGTTTCGCTCTTTTTTTTAACTTCCTCTGTCTCTAAGTTTTAAATATATTTTGAAGGAAAATATACTAACGCGTTTTTCGTTGACCCTGCAGGCGACCAACGACGTGAGAGGCCATCCGACGGAACCTTCCATCGACCAAGCTCTCTCTTAACAACGACGGTCCAAGCTCTCACTCAGCGACGACGACGGCGATTTCCGCTATGCACAATGCCACTGAAGCCGCAGACCCGCCTTGATTTGTCCGGAGCTGCATTTCCTAGGAAATCCCGCTTCGCAACGTCACTGACTCGGGTCAAAGCAACGCGGACGCTGCGGCTTCAGCAGCATTGTGCATGGCGACTCTCCCGTCGCGCGGAACTTGGCGTTTGGCGACGCTTCACTCAAGTCTTTACGATGAAGTTTTTATTTCAAGCCTAGTTTTTTATCACAATGAACGTAAGTGTGGTTCCGTTTCAGAGATCTTCAACTACAATTCATTATTTTTACATATCTGCACTAACGTATTCGTTATTTCATGCAGATTCAGGGTCCTGCCGCTTCACGGCATCGTGATATTCCCATCGTCGCGAGTGGCGCTTCTATCGTCGCGTGGCGTTAGGCGACGGCGCGTGCCCCTGATGACGGTTCTTCCGGCGCTAGTGCCGCTTTGTTTGTCGGATGGTAAGAACGCAATAGTATTTTTTATAATCATGCTACCTTATTCGTCCTTGTTTCAACAGTTCAGCTAACGCTTCTTCTTTCTTCCTGCAGATGGTGAGGAGACCCTTAGTTGGCGCTTGGCGACGCGTTTTTTCCCTTCGCGCGGCTCTTTGCACGGCGGATGGCGGCGAATGCGGCTGATGACGGTTCTTCCGTCGCTAGTGGCGCTTTGATTGCCGGATGGTAAGAACGCGATAACACCACCAGCAGTTTCGATGGGTTTTCAACGGTTATTCGTCCTTTCGTCAACGCTTCAGCTAACGGTTTTCCTTGTTCCTTGCAGATGGTGAGGAGACCCGTCGATGGCGCTTCTCCCGTCGCGCGGCGTTGCTTCGTCCGGGACATGGCGACGAGTATCCCGTCGCACGGCGTCGCTTCGGCGGGAGCATGGCGACTCTTCACCCGTCGCGCGGCGCTTCGCACCGCGCCGGTGACGTCTCTCAGATTCGTCGTCGTTTTTCGTTTCGTCATCTTCCGTTTTGTTATCTTTCTTCGGCCTTTCTCACTCGTGGCATGACGTGGTCGATGCGCAGCCAGGAATGAGAAAGTCCAAGACGTCAACGTCAACAACCAAGACGTCAACGTCAACAACCAAGACGTCAACGTCAACGTCAACAACCAAGACGTCAACGTCAACAACCAAGACGTCAACGTCAACGTCAACAACCAAGACGTCAACGTCAACATCAACAACCAAGACGGCCAAGACGACCAAGCAGTCCAAGACGACCAAGACGACCAAGCCGTCCAAGCCGTCCAAGCCGTCCAAGACGACCAAGACGACCAAGACGACCAAGCCGTCCAAGCCGTCCAAGACGACCAAGACGACCAAGCCGTCCAAGCCGTCCAAGACGACCAAGACGACCAAGACGACCAAGCCGTCCAAGCCGTCCAAGACGACCAAGACGACCAAGCCGTCCAAGCCGTCCAAGCCGTCCAAGACGACCAAGACGACCAAGACGACCAAGACGACCAAGCCGTCCAAGCCGTCCAAGCCGTCCAAGACGACCAAGACGACCAAGACGACCAAGACGACCAAGCCGTCCAAGACGACCAAGACGACCAAGACGACCAAGACGACCGTCAACGTCAACGTCAACGTCGACGTCGACCACGGTAAAAGCCCGAGCGGCTTTCACGGTAAGAACCGTCTAATTTCGTTTTGCTGCTTCCTCTTCGGGATATCTAACGCTCTTTGTCGTGTTCCTCTGTGCAGTGCAGCAGGAGGAGCAGCAACTACTGCGAGTAAGGGAGGTAAAGGAGAGCTAGCTCTTCTCTTCTCTGGTAAGTACGGTCAAATTCAGTTATGTTGATTCCTTTTCGAAATCTAATGTTTGCTTTAGTGTTTGTTTGTTGCTTTTAGCGCAGGAGAAGCGTGCAGGAACAACGGAAGCCGCGGGAATGGGAGCTCGCGGCGGGGTCAGCGACGATCAAGGGAGGTAACGCGGGGAGGCGGTCTCACATCCACGGTAAGTTTCGCCGAATTCCGTTAAGCTTTTTCTTCGTTCATGAAACTAACTTCTTTGTGCAGCGGAAGTGGCGGAGGGGAGCTCGCGGGGGCTGCGACGAACAAAGGAGGCTTTCACGGTAAGAACCGTCTGCTTTCGTTTCGCTGCTTCCTTTTCCGTATACTTAATGCCTTTTCGTGCTCGTGTTCTCTTAGTGCAGGACTTCGGAGGAGGCAGCGACGGTAGAAGAGGAGCGACGACGGGAGAAAGAGCTCTTCCTCGTCTTTCTTTGGTAAGTAGCTTCAACTTCAGCCAAGTTTAATTCTTCGTAAAACATGAATACTAACTTTGATTTCGTGTTCTATGTCTTCAGTGCAGGAGCTTGCGGCAACAACGGCAGGAGGAGGAGCGACTACGGGAGAGAGAGCTCTTCCTCTTCTTTCTCTGGTAAGTAGCGTCAACTTCAGCCAAGTTTAATTCTTCGTTAAACTTGAATACTAACGGTTGTTTTCGTGTGATTTGTCTTCAGTGCAGGACCTTGCGGTAACAACGGCAGCGAGGGAGCGACAACGGGAGCGAGGGAGCAGCAACGGGAGCAAGGGTAAGTCCGTTAAAGCTCGCGCCTCAAAAATATCAGCTTATTTTTTTGGCCGTTTAATCTTATTCTGTTGCTTTCCTTCCTGCAGAGCCTGACCGTACGCCGGCGCACGGGGGCGCGGCGACACATGGACGAATGGCGACGAACGGGGGACGCGCGGCGACTAACGGAGACGCGTAGGTCCCGTAGGATTCAACTCAGTCTGCTTTCGTCGAATCTGCTCTTAACCTTTTCAAAGAATCTAACTTCTTGTTAAATTGATTTTGTCACTCCTGCAGAGCCTGACCGTTTGCCGGCGCGCGGCGACTAGCGGAGACGCGCGGCGACGAATGGGACGCATGGCGAGGCACGGCCGATGATTTTCAGGCGCGCGCACGGCGTGTCTCAATGGCGGGGCGCTTCTCTCGGACTTCAGAGTCTGTCGTGGTGTACACGGTGGTGTGCTGGTAAGTCCCGTAGGATTCAACTCAGTCTGCTTTCGTCGATTCTGCTCTTTACGTTTCCAAGGAATCTAACTTATTGTGATTTGATTTTGTTACTCCTGCAGAGCCTGACCGTCCGCCGGCGCACGAGACGCTTGGGGTGGGGACGCTTCGCGGCGAAGCATGGCGAAGCTTCATGGCGACGAATGGCGCGTGTCTCACGTCGCAAGGGGACGTCACAAGGGGACGCTACCAGCAACGCCTCGCTCCGGCAAAGGTGAAGTGTGTCCGTTCATCAGTTTTAGCGATCTAGGTTCAACGCGTCTTGGCTGCATATATTTGATTTGAGTTTTCTACGTTCTAATGCTGCTTTGCTTTCTTCCTGCAGAGGCTGACGCGCACGATACACGGCGACAATGGCGACGAACGGGGGACGCGAGGCGACGAACAGAGGCAAGCGGCGACGAATGGGGACGCAAGAGAAACGCGGCGACGAATGGCGACGCGCGGCGACGAACGGGGACTCGCGGCGATGAACGGAGACGCGCGGCGACGATGCGGACGCATGCGGCGCACGGCGTGTCCCACTGGCGAAGGCGCGGTCACGGGCGCACGGCGCTTGGCGGAGCTTCTCTCTGGAGGGTGGCATCGCGTATCGGGCGTGGAGCGCGGAGGAGCGGGAGCAAGGAGCAAGGAGCGAGGATGGAATTTGACTTTCCTCCCATCCCGCCCTTTCTGTCAGATTTGGCGGGAGCGGGAGCAACCAGCGCAAGCACCAGGCCTTGTAAGAGGGGTGGTGATGGGTACAGGACGATTAGGAGCGCGTTAGATAGACTCGATTAGGCACTAACATGGGCGATGGTATGGGTGGTAACCAGGTGCGTTCAGGTATGCCTCTTGACGGCTGGTCGTCCTCTTGACGGCTGGCCGTCATTCTGAACATTCTGACAACGGGGAACCTATTGTCAAATTCGACGTGTTTATTTTCATCTGCCCGTCACTAATTTGACCGTTTCCCCCCCTCCCAAGCACTTTCTCGCCCCGCCCCCCTCCCTCCCAAGCAGGCCCCACGCGAATGACCTCCACCTCATCGTGGTGCGTGGGTGAACGTCAGGGGCATTTGCCTCTGACGGCCAAGAGGGGTCAAGAAGACTTTCAAGCTGCTGTGGAGGCTCAAGAAGACGGTCAAGCTGCTGTGGAGGCGATGATGTGGAGCCGCAGGAGGATCCGTTTACACTTGGCTTACGGAGCTTACAATGCTAGCAGTTCTGACTTGTAACTTTTTATTGAATGAAATTCCCTTAGTCTATTCAGCGCCTTGTACTGTTAACTCGACGTGTTTATACACACATGGCAACTTGGACAGAGCCCTGAACTGAACCTGAACCGAAGAACACGACACTGCAATTGTTGAAGAGGACACGTGCCTGGCGATACAGTTCACTGGTGGCTGATTTTGTATTTCTACTGTACAAACGAATCTGCTAAGGGCGCGTATCATGTGGGAGATGCTGGTTGAGGGTTGTGGATATCGAGGAAGTATGGGCTAGGGCAGGCTTGAACTTTCTAGTAGGTGGTGGACGTGGCGCTTTTCTAAAAAATATGAGTCATTCCGTGGTTCTGGCGTAAGGTGCGGGACGGCGGATGGATAGTTAGGAAATTCATAGTTTTTGGTTCTCTGAACCTCAAATGGGCAGCTGAAAATACAAATTGATCCTGAAGGGAAATTCCGCGAACCAATAGATATGAAGGGTGTTGCCACGGACAGAAATGTTTCCGTCACCCCGACCTCACCACCGAGGCATTTGATTTCTCATTCGTCATGACATGACTCATAATCCAGTTCTATTAGCTAGTTAGCTAGTTCCGTTCTGTTACATCAAAGCAGCGACGATTTCTCCCATCACCGTACATCTCGCTACCCTCGCTTACTGATTTTTGGAGGCAAAAGCGGTAGTTATTTTTCACATGGAGTTTCTAATCTTGTCTCCGTTACTAGTTACATCTCAGTACCGTAGCTAGTCTCGATCGCGCTTAGAACTACTTCAGCGTTCGCCGCTTCACACATTTAGTCCGGTGCTGCTAGCGTCGAAGGTACTGTGTTAGCTGCTCTTTCCAGATTTGCGACAGCAGTCGTATCTGTCGTTTTTTAAGATCTGACGATTTTTAAGCTCCTGTATTTATCTGCGTTTGGAACAAAATTGTCGATTCGGGGACACATTCGTGACGCTTCGTTCAAGTCTATTTGGGAGTCGAGGATAAAAATGTGAAGACATTTGCCACGTCTTTATAAAGACTTATCATGCGAACACATGACACGATCCATGGCGCATGAGCCTGACCGTTTAGCAAAACAGTGGAAAGAGGGATCCTGGGTGGGTGGGATGGGTAAGGGAACGGAGGTAGAAGTGGAGTGGCCTCTTTCCCCTGATTTCCCCCTTTTCCCTTCCCGCGCTTCCGTCCCCTCCCTCCCCCTTGTTCCCCGACCTTGCATAGAAACGTCACGCATCCCGCATCCCCCACCCAAATCCCCGCTCCCCCCTCTCTCCCCCACCCTCCCCTCATTCTCCCCGCATCCCCTCTCTCCCCTCAAAACCCCGCTCTCCCTTCGTCTCCCCCACTCTCCCCTCATCGTCCCCGCTCTTCCCCCATCTTCAGCGCTCTCCCCTCATTTTTTGTGCTCGTTCCTCATCTCCCCGGCTCTCCCCATCCCCCACTCCCCCCTCTCCCCCCCTCCCACCGTACCCCCACTCACCCGTCATCTTCCCCCTATTCCCACGTCCTGACCATCCCTCATCCCCCCCGCTCTCCCCTCCCCTTTCCCCCGCTCACCCCTTTTCAACCCCACCCATACACTCCTCATTACCTTTTCCCATCCATCACCTCTCTCCAGTCCCTTCCCCATTCCCACATTTTCAACCCACATTCCCCCTCCACTCACCCTTCATCTCCGCATTCCCATCCACCTCTCTCCAGACCCTCCCCCTCCTCTCTCCTGCCCCTCCTAACCCTCCCTCGTTCCCCCTGCCCCTACCACTCATCTCACAGCTCTCCTCAACTCCCTCTCCCGCTCACCCCCTCATCTCCCCTTCCCCGCACCTGCTACTTGTCCTCTTGCCTCTGCTCCATGCCTCAGCTCCTTCGGTTTGCTGCTTCCCTTTGAGTGATTGTCTTAAGTGATTTCTCTGTAGTTCCCTTTCCTGCTAATTGCCATTGCGACATGCGTCAGTGAGTTGCTTTGGTCTTATGGAGCTCTCTTTGTGAGTTCATGGTCGTTCGTTTGCACACTGCATTCACACCATGCCGTTTGCTCCCCCAGCTGCCTGATCTGCCACGTGGTTACATGCGCGTGCATTTGCTGCTCGTGCATTTGCTGCCCGTGCATGTCAGTCAAACCAGTGAAATTCTTTTTGATCTCCAGGCACTCTCCTTGTGACTGCGTGCTTACACCTGACTCCTCAGTTGCTCTTCGTGTGACTGCCTGCCTTTGCAGCTTACACCTTTTCTCCTCCGCTGCTCTCTGTGTGACTGCCTGCTTTTGCAGCATGCCATTTGACTCCTCAGCTGCCTTGTCTGGCATGTGTCTGCATGTAATGTGACTGCGGCTTGTTAGAATAAGTGTTATTTTATATTCATGTGAAAATCATCTGAACAAATTCTTGCTGTCTGAATATACGGATGTTAGTTTTTTCTGAATTTTGACTCCACACAATATCAACAACGATTAGTTTTTTAAACTGAGTATTGTACATGGCATACAAGCGAGGCAGACAGCAGGGTTCATGGGGTGGGTGCAGCAGCACGCACCCCACAATACGGGCAAACAGGCACAGTAACTTCTGATAGCCTTGCAGGTGTGCACACCTTACCATCAGCTTCCCCTCTCGTGTACAAGCCGAGAATTTCTTCATGTCATACAAGCGAGGGAGACAGCAGTGTGCATGAAGTGGGTGCAACAACTTGCACCCCACAGTACGGGCAAACAGGCATGGTGGTGGTGGCTGCTGCTGCTGCTGTTACCTCCTCTCCTCTCACCCACTTCCCTTCCCCTGTAGCTTCCATTTCACGCATACAAGCAGGCAATAGCTGATTCGCTGCTGCTTCACCTGATATTCCAGAGGCTTCAGCTGCCTCTGTTCGTTCGGTGGCTTCCTTTAAACGCTCCGCCCATGCCTCTGCCCGGACCCAGAAGTTTTGGCTGCCCGGGGGCAGGAAGAGCGGGCGGCAAGCGTCCAGGCAGTGCATGCCTTCGGGGGAGATCCAGCGGCTACAGGACAAACAATGCCACGCTGGCTGGGTGGCCTCAATTGGCTTTAGTGTGACCGGGCAGAGGGGGATATGGTGAGGGGTGGGGAGAGTGGCAGGGGTTGTGATTCCAGACCTGCAGTGAGGGAAGGGGGAGGAGATGGGAAGAAAGGGAAGCGAAAAAGTGAGGTGCTAGGAAGGTAAAAGAGGGGAGAGGGGTAGAAGGGAGGAAAAGAGCATGCATGAATCGAGAGAGACGAATGGTTAGGAGGAGAAGAGACAGATAAGGCTAGTGATATAGATAGGGTGTTGGATCAGAGCGAAGCAGAAAAGTTGTAGAAGCAAAATATTTGCATTATAACATGCTGTGAGAAGAAGACAAGTTGTAGATGCGATGCGGATACATATCAGCAAAAAAAGGCTTCTTAGTACTTACCAGTGTGCAAATGCATGTGCACAGGCTGTGAGAAGGGGATGCACTAGGACAGTTGGTTCCGTTGCCGTCTGCTCCTGTGTGGCCTTATTCAGGCCTACACTGCTAGCATCACCACCACCAGTAGCAGCAGCGGCGGCAGTGGTAGTAGTGTGCGTGGTTTGAGAGAGCACCCACTGGCACGAATCGATTGCTGCTTGCACCATGCATCCCTTTGCTGCTTTGTTAGCCCCTGCTGCCGCTTCTCCCCCGGCTGCCTCCCTTCCTGCTACCTCTCCCCCTCCTACCTCGTTTCTCTCTGCCCCTTCCATCTCATTCCCTCTTTCCTCGCCGTGACACAAGGCAGCAGTGACCATAACAGACAAAGCCAACCGTTGCTGCAATTCCTTCTGCATCCTTCTCAACCCCTCCTGCACCTGCTGCACCTGGCTCCACCGTCCCACACCAACTCGTAACTGCTCCTCCTCTCCCTCCTGCGTGCCCTGCTGCCAAACCTGCAACGCTGTCCCTTGTTGCTTGGACAAGACAGGGGGAGGGAGGAGAGGGGAGAGGAGGAAGGAAGGAGAGGAGGACGGGGAGGGAAGTGTGGTGCGCCTGGGGGTGAGATTGAGCTGCTGTTGCTGCTGCTGGTTGCTAGGGAGTGCAGATGTGAGCATGTGGCGGAGGAAAGTAGAAAGTATCTGCAGCTGTCTTGTTGAGAGGCTCCGAATAGCATCCCCTGCGCTCACTTGTACTTCGTGCTGCTGCTGACAATTCTCCTTCTGCTGCCGCTGCTGCTCTTGACCAGTGCTGCTGGCAGCTGCAACGGATGAGGGAAGAGGCGAGTCACCAAGGAGCAAGAGGGAGAGAGCAGCGCGGGAAACGGGGCAGGGGACGAGCTCGGAGAGTAGGAGAGAGATGAGGAGGGAGAGGGGCGAGCAGAGCGAGGCAGTCAGGCTGGCAGATGGCAGGACGGTGGAGGAGGAAGGGGTGGTGGAACTGGCTGCAGCTGCAGTGGTAGGAAGCGAGGCAGCTTGCTTGGCGAGGCTGAGAAGAGAGGCGAGGAGGTCCCAGAGGAGAAAGGGCGACGGGCGCAGCTGAAGGCGTGTGCAGGAGCAGGAGCAGCAGCAGGAGGAGGGGCAGCAGAAACAGCCACTGTTGAGCAGGCGGCAAAGGGAGGAGCGGAGTGCCTGCTCCCATGCCACCATCTCCCGCGCTCGCCTTGCTGTCGCCCCCTTGCCTCTCCTTGGCACGCCCCAGCAGCGCAGCAGGTGGGAGATAAGGGGCTCAGGTGGAGGGTTGGGAGAGGTGATTGTGTGCATTGGAGAAGCAGCAGAGGCAGAAGGGGCGGCAGCCGGGGCAGCAGCAGGAGAGGTGGTGGGGTTGAGTCGTTGGCCTGCTATCCAGAACAGCTGCACTGCTGCTTTGAACGACCTGCCGAGGCAGGGAGGGGTCAGGGGTAGAGGGCAGATTATGAGGCAAGTTTGGGCGGACCAGAAGCACACTCAGGAGAGGTGGTGGGATTGAGTCGTTGCCCTGCTATTCAGAGCAGCTGCACTGCTGCTTTGAACGACCTGCCGAGGCAGGGAGCAGAATGAGAGAGCAGAAAGAAGTGAGGGTCAGGAAGAAAAGACTCTCCTGTTGACCTTTTTTTTAGGCGCCAGTGGGAATGAGTGATTCGTTGCCCTGCTATCCAGAACAGCTGCACTGCTTCTTTGAACGACCTGCAGAGGCAGGGACAAGATGAAGAGGGCAGAACAAGAGGCAAGTTGAACGGACCAAGAGGCAAGTTCAGCCGGACCAAGAGGCAAGTTCAGCCGGACCAAGAGGCAAGTTCGGCCGGACCAAGAGGCAAGTTCGGCCCGGACCAAGAGGCAAGTTCGGCTGGACCAAGAGGCAAGTTTGACCTGACAAAGGGAAAGCCTAGCCAAAGAGGCACTCACTTGGTGTACATGTCATTCTTCAAATGCTGAGCCATGTCCCGAACCTGCAGCAACGGAGGTTCGGCAGAAGGGCAGGCAGAAGGAAAGGTAGCAAGGCAGCACGGCAGACAGTAAGGAGGCAACAAGGGGAGCCAGCACAGCGGACAGAAGGGGAGGCAGCAGGGCAGGCAGTAAGACAGGCAGCAAGGACGCCGAGTGATGAATGGCCGTTGGGAGTAAATTATGAGACACCGTTAAGGTCACAGGAGAATCATTAAAGGGTTAACGGTGGTGGGAAGGTGAGGGTTGTCAGGGCTGTGAGAATCAAAAGGTAGTTTTGAGACAGTGCAGAACGGAATTGAGTGGATTAGGGTTTGGGACTGACCGTTGCGATGAGGAGGCGATTGGGTGAGCAGGCAAGGCCGTGACAACCAACAAAGTCAGAGGGGTCAGTGCGCGAGGACTGCGAGGGGGAGGGAGCATGGGAGCATGGGTGGAGGGTAAGGCAGGGAATGGCGATGGCATGGCACAATGGCATGGCGTGAGAGCAGGCGTGGCAGCCAACAAAGTCAGAGGGGTTAGTGTGTGACGTCTGGGAGAGAGGGACGGTGGGTGGAGAGATGAGATGGGAGGAGATGGTGGGGCATGAGATGGCAAGACACAGTGGCATGGGGTGAGAGCAGGCAAGGCCGTGACAGACTTGGACGCCAGTGGGGCCAGTGTGGGAGGTCTGGGAGGGATGGAAAAGAGGGGATGGGGGGGGGATGAAGATAGCATGGCAAGGCACGATTACATTGGCAAGGCATGATGGCATGGTGAGAGATTAGGCAAGGCCATGACAGCCAATGAAGTCAGAGGGTCACAGCACTCCCCACTGACTTGACAAAGTCCTGGGAGCGAGGGGATGGTGGGAGGGATGGGAGAGGGGAATAGCCGGGTATGGCAATGGCATGACACGCCAGGGTATCTGAGCAAGGCCGTGGCGGGCGACGAAGTGAGGAGGGGTCAGTGCGCGAGGCCTGGGAGGGGCGGAGTGGTGGGGCATGGGAGCACGGGAGCGATAGGAGAAGGGGAAGTTGGAAATAGCATGGCATGGAGCGAGAGCAGGCAAGGACATGACAGGCAATGACATGATCGTGTGTCAGTGAAGTCAGTTGGGGTCAGTAAGAGGGGAGTGAGAGGGATAAAAGCCAGGGATGGGGGGGACATGTCACATGAAGATAGCATGGCAAGGCACGAGAGGATGACGTGGAAGCAGGCAAGGCCGTGACAGCCAATAAAGTGAGAGGGGTCAGTGCGCAAGGCATGGGAGGGGATGGAAGAGAGAGAATGGGGGATTTAGAAAATAGAATGGCAAGGCACACTGGCGTGGCGTGACGATGTTCACGGCAAGCGTTGGGGATCCCAGGCCAACAATCGTCATGTATGTAACTTGGTCGTCCCAGTCCTGTTATATGGGTGGTATTTTTTTAACGTCTCAAAAATCACTCATATCACGTGGATGTTCACGGCGAGTGTTGGGGCTCTAACGCACAGTGCACCCAGTCACATAACAATCGTCATATCACTTCGTCGCCCCAGTCCTCTCACAGTGCACCCAGTCATATAACAATGGTCATATCACTTGGTCGTCATATCACTTGGTCGTCATATCACTTGGTCGTCATATCACTTGGTCGTCATATCACTTGGTCGTCCCAGTCCTCGCACATCACAGTGCACCCACTGACTTCATCGCCTGCTCCCATGATGCCAGATTGCCACCTACTCTCATCTCATGCCATGCCCCTGTTTACATGTCTCACCTGTACGGCATCGTCCAAGCCTTCTGAAAGGGCGAGAGGCAGGGCGGAGGAGAGGCGGGGAAGGGGAAGCGGCCGCACGGGAAGGAAGTCCGAGGGGGGGAGAGGAGGGTGGGGAGGAGGGGAGGGCGGAGGAGAGGGCGGAGGAGAGGGAGGAGGAGGAGGAGGAGGGGGAGGTGTAGAAGGTGGGTGGAGGGTTGACGGACCAGCACTTGATTGAATCGACCTGAGGGAAGTGGAGGGAAACAGGAATGGGAGAGTACATGGAATCAGGGTACACTTGCATCAATGAACGGCACAGGTGAATGAAAGCGTAACTGGGATAACACCTGGGTGATCACATGGGAGATCTTTTCCCCCCCCACACACAGAAGCACTTACCTGGGAGCAGGAGTAGAGCGCTGCTAGCCCCCTGCATCGCATCGCACCACCACCAGCACCACCAGCACCACCATGCTGCATGCGATCTTAGACTCGACTTTCATCCACTTCAGTACTTCTGTGAGTTCAAGACAGTACAACAAACCCCACACACTACGCACAACCCGCCTCCCCCCACCTACAAGCTCACCTGGGAGCAGGAGTAGAGAGCGATGCTAGCCCCATGCCTCGCACCACCACTATCAGCACCAGCACCCCTGTATGGGACGTTCTCCCCTAGCCCACACACCCACCACCTTCCCCACACACAGAAGCACTTACCTGGGAGCAGGAGTAGAGCGCTGCTAGTCCCCTGCCTCGCACCACCACCACCACTCCTGTCACCGCTGCTGCATGTGCATCCGCCCATGCTCCCACCGTCACACACCCATCCATTCCTCCAATCTCCTTCCTCTTTCCCCTCTTCCCCACTTCACAAACCACTTCCGCACTCTCCCTATTTGTTTCCGCTGCCCCGGCTCCGCTACCCCTCTGACCGCCTCTCCCCTTCCCCTGTCCCCCTCTCTCCCCCACCTTCTCCCATTGCACCCACCATGCCGCTACTTGCCCTGACGCACATCCTGCTCCCACCACCGCTGCTGGCGTGACTAGTGCTGCTGCTTCTGCTGCTGCTTGCTGCTGTTGTTGCCGTTTTTGCTGCGTCTGCTTCTTCCTCTGCTGCTGCTGCTGGTGCAACAGCAGCGTCGTCACAATTAGAAGGCATCTTGGAGAGGGCTAGCTGAGATGCCCGTTGGGATGAAACGGGGGAGAAGAGCAATGGACAGGCTCGTGACTGGTGAGCCGTTGGGAGTGGCGAGCTGAGAGGGTGGGGAGGGGAGGGGAGGGGAGGGGAGGGGGAGGGGGAGGGGGAGGGGAGGGGAGGAGAGGGGAGGGAAGAGAAAGGGGGGGGGGGGGGGGAGGGGAAGGGGAGAATGGGGGCTAGCTGAGACACCTGCTGGGGATGGAGCGAGGGGGGAAGAGCGACCGAACAGGCTCGTGACTGGTGAGCCGTTGGGAGTGGCGAGCTGATAGGGTGGGGATGGGGGAGGGGAGAGGAAGACACGGTAGATGGGGTGGCTCTGAGTCAACTTAACAGAAGAGCAACGGACAGGCTGGTGATGGTGGGTTGTGGGGCGAGGCAGGCTGATAGGGAGGGGAGGGGGAGCAGAAACAGGGAAGAGAGAATCGCATGGCAAACAAGAAAGGGCAAAGACAAAGTGAGAGTATTGGCTGGGAGGGAAAGAGGGGGGGGAGGTAGTGAGGCGGTATTAGTGAAGATGAAGGAAGAATGGTGAAGCGGGAAAAATGTGGAATGGGGGAAGAAATGTAGTTGATGAGAAAAGGTGCGCGTGCTGTGCTATGTATGTACCAAAGCACGCGATATACGCACGCTTTCCTTTGGTACTAGTGTGTGCTGTTCTGCAGATAACTTTTGAGAACCAGCTTCTCAAAAAGCCTTTGGTACCCTGCGTTCTGCAGATATAGAGGCTCCAAAGCAGGTGTGTGTGACTGACAGCAAGATTCAGCTCCTAAAGAAAGAGTCATAAAGAGGCACGTGATAGACCTGAGTCGACCCAAAAGTAATCAGGATACAGGAACGAGGAATCACTAACCACAAGTGTCACAAGGTTTCAGGCACACACGTGCCTTGGAGAGGGGTGGTTATCTTGGCGCGCAGTGCAGATACGTGTGCAGGGCCATGTGAGGGATGGAGACTGGCTGTTGTTGCTGTTGTCCTTGGGTGTGACTGTAGCGAGGGGAGAGAGAAGGTCACCTGCCATACAGTCACACTGGAAAGAAGGGATTCAGATTATGACTCTCTTGGAGGGGAAGAGTGGGGAGGGAAGAGAGAATTCTTTGAGACGTCTCAAAAATATTAAGATGATGACTCTCTTGGGGGGGGGGGGGGGGGTTGAGACGTCTCAAAAATATTAAGATGATGGGGG